AAAGGGAGGCCCGGCGGCTTTTATGATCAATCAAAAGCCAAGTGGCAGCGGGTGAGCTGAGCATGCGGCGGCAGCACAAGTTGCAGGACGCCGTCTGGTCGCACACCGGAACCACGCGGGGTGGGACAGGCTCAGCAAGGAGGGAACCTTTGAAGATGTTTTCACAGGACAGAGGCTGTTGGCCAAAGCGGAGCGGATTTCCCCAGGCCTGCCAGCCGGCACCTCCTTGGAACAAAGGCCCTTCAAGTCCCTGTGCTCACAGCATGGGGACGGGAGCGCCACTCAGCCCCAAAATCACAAGGTCCTTTTAAAATGGCCAAACAAGGGATTTTTCTCTAGCCAGGTTCTGTGAGTTGAACTGTCCCGCCTGAAACTTTCCACCACAATTCAGCCCATGGCAGATGCCCAGCCTGGAAAATTCCAGTCCGATGCTGGAATGGCCGCGCTAGCCAAAGTGAGCCCGGCACTGCCTGAATTCCTGCGTTTTTAGGAAAGGCCCCATGCTGTAAAACGCCTCCGCGGTGGCATTCTTCCCCTGCCTTCCAAAGCAAGCCGGCAGCTCCTGTCAGCGAAAAAATGCTCCGGCGAGGTACTGGAGATTTTTCCACGCTGTGGGTCCTCTAGGGCCTCCTTTCCCCTGCTGCCTCTCCTCCCCTTCTCACTCTCTCTAGATACGGCCCCTCCCTGTGTCTACCCCACAGTCCCCCTGGGAAAGCTCTGTTTCTCTGGAGGGTTACAAAATCCAGCGGCAGGGAGAACCGTTTCCTCCTTTTCTCTGATCTTTTCCCCAGAAACGGACTTTTCATCATGAAGTCGTCACAGACAATTTTTTTAAAAGCGTATTTTCCACGTGACCACCAATTTCACCGCTTTTGAAAGGGACAAGTCACGAGGGCGTGTCTCGGTTTGTTGTCTTTGTGCGGATGAAGTCGCATTCATCTACATTCCAAGGTAAGAACTGCATGGACCAGGACTTAGGGCTGGCGGCGTGCGTGGCAGTAAAACCATTGTGGGAATGATGCCTTACTGCCAAAAGAGGGATTCCCCGGTCACACACAAGATTTCCAAGCAGCTGTTTGAAATGAACAGGGATTGGCTGTCTTGGTCCCTTTGTAAAGGTTCTCATTAGGCTGGCTGCGTGACAAACACAGAAGTAAAAAAGGCGGAGCGATCGAACCAGGATTGAAATGAGCAAGCAGGAACCCTCAATTTAAAGAATGGATTTTAGTTTTGTTTTGCAGTTATACTTTCTACTGATTTTCCTAAAGAAAGATTAATTCTTATTGGCTGAGAGCCATTGAACCAGTCTTTCTTAAACTTTTTCAGATCGAGGGACACCAAACAAGGATTTTGTTGTTGAGTGGGGGGGAGAGCAGGGAAAAGTTATTGACAAAAAAAAAAGAGGATCAGAGGAAAGTTACTGAGGAAAAAAAAAGGTCACCTGCCCCTTTAAGGGCGGCCATTTTTAACTCTTCTGTTCTCCACGGCACACCGGTATCCCACGGAACACAGTTTAAGGAACGCCGCGTTAAACCATGTCGATTTGCAACTAAATGTTGCCTTTACACAAAATGTGGGGTTTCGTTTTGCTAACTGACTAAAGACCCAGACCCACAAGTAATTATATATCTGCCATTGCATTTATTCTGAATCGTCTTTTTGTTTACACTTTTATTTATAGAAAATGATTGGCGCATTTTTTATTTACTAGGCAGCAACTAAAGTTTTCTTTGTGATTTGTGTCAAGCTGTATTTGGACGGAAATTCAAATGCAATTACAAGTGCACAAAACCAGCATCTTCATCTATTGGTAGGTGCATCGGTCTATCGACCAGCATCTTCATCTATTGGTAGGTGCATTGGTCTATCGGTCCGTCTGTGAGTCCGTTTGTTCAAGAACTCCTCCTAACCGGTAAGAGCTAGGAGAAGTCGATAAGGTCATTGCGGAGAAACGAAATGAATTCTTTGCATTAATCTTCATGGTTGAGGACATGAGGGAGATTCTCAAACTTGAGCCATTCTGTTTAGGTGACAAATCTGAGGAACTGTCCCAGATTGAGGTGTCATTCATGCAGATTTTGGAACAAACAGATAAACTAAACAGTAACAAGTCCCTGGGACCAGATGGCATTCACCCAAGAACTCCAACTGACCGGATGGCATTCACCCAAGAACTCCAATGGGAAATTGCAGAACTATTAACTGTGGTTTGTAACCTATCCTTTAAATCAGCTTCTGTACCTAATGACTGGAAGATCGCTAACGTGACACAAATATTTAAAAAGGGCTCTAGAGGTGATCCTGGAAATTACAAACTGGTAAGTCTAACATCTAACTGGGCAAATTAGATGAAACTATAGTAAAGAATAAAATTGCCAGACACATGGATGAATATAATTTGTTGGGGGAAAGTCAACATGGTTTCTGTAAAGGGAAAACATACCTTACTAATCTGCTAGAGTTCTTTAAGGGGGTCAACAAATATGTGGACAAGGAGGATCCAGTGGATGTAGTATACTTAGAATTCCAGAAAGTCTTTGACAAGGTCCCTCACCAAAGGCTCTTAAGTAAAGTAAGTTGTCATGGGATAAGAGGGAAGGTCCTTTCGTGGATTGATAATTGGTTAAACCTACCCCCCCCTCCCCAAGCCCTGCCCCCAGCCAGGGCAGCATTCCACCTCCCTTTGTTTCTCCCCATGGGGGCTTGGCTGGTTCAACCGGTATGGAGTCACCTTTGCATAATAAAGTTTTCCCTGCTGGGTCTTGCTCCAGACAGCAGAGGTCACCACAGCCCAGCAAGTACCCCCACTACGTCACACAAGGTTCCTCACCAAAGACCCTTGTGTAAATTAGGTTGTCATGGAATAAGAGGGAAGTTCCTTCCATGGACTGAGAACTGGTTAAAAGACAGGAAACAAAGGGTAGGAATAAATGGTAAATTTTCAGAATGGAGAGGGGTAACTAGTGGTGTTCCCCAAGGGTCAGTTCTAGGACCAATCCTATTCAACATATTCATAAATGATCTGGAGAAAGGGGTAAACAGTGTGGTGGTAAAGTTTGCAGATGATACCAAACTGTTCAAGATAGTCAAGACAAAAGCAGACTGCGAAGAACTTCAAAAAGATCTCCCCAAACTGAGTGATTGGGCAACAAAATGGCAAATTAAATTTAATGTGGATAAGAGTAAAGTAATGCACATCGGGAAAAATAACCCGAGCTATATATACAATATGATGGGGGGTAATTTAGCTACAACTAATCAGGAAAGAGATCTTGGAGTTATCGTGGATAGTTCTCTGAAAACATCCACTCCATATGCAGCTGCAGGAAAAAAAACAAATAGGATGTTAGGAATGATTAAAAAGGGATAGAAAAGAAGATGAAGAATATCTTACTGCCCCTGTATAAAACGATGGTACGCCCACATCTTGAGTACTGTGTACAGATGTGGTCTCTTCTCCTCAAAAAAGATATTTTGGCCTTGGAAAGGGTTCAGAAAAGGGCAACTAAAATGATTAGGGGTTTGGAACGGGTCCCATATGAGGAGAGGCTAAAGAGACTGGGACTTTTCAGTTTAGAAAAGAGGAGACTGAGGGGGGATATGATAGAGGTCTATAAAATCATGAGTGGTGTGGAGAGGGCTGATAAAGAAAAGTTATTTATTAGTTCCCATAATAGAAGAACTAGAGGACACCAAATGAAATTAATGGGTAGCAGGTTTAAAACTAATAAAAGAAAGTTCTTCTTCACACAGCGTGTAGTCAACCTGTGGAACTCCTTGCCAGAGGAGGCTGTGAAGGCTAGGACTATAATAGAGTTTAAAGAGAAGCTGGATAAATTCATGGAGGTTAGGTCCATAAAAGGCTATTAGCCAGGGGATAGAATTGGTGTCCTTGGCCTCTGTTTGTCAGAGGCTGGAGAGGGATGGCAGGAGACAAATCGCTTGATCATTGTCTTCGGTCCACCCCCTCTGGGGCACCTGGTGCTGGCCACTGTCGGCAGACAGGATACTGGGCTAGATGGACCTTTGGTCTGACCCTGTCTGGCCGCTCTTATGTCCCTCCCCAAAGGCTCTTAGCAGAGTACGTGGTCATGGGAGGAGAGGGAAGGGCCTTTTGTGGCTGATCACTGGCTACTGCTGAAAGGGATCTAGGGGTCAATGTGAACCACAAGTTAAACATGAGTCAACTATGTGACACTGCTGCAAAAAAGCAAACATGATTCTGGGATGCATTAATACGGGGTGGATAATATTTTTGTGCTGTGGGCCTGTGACGGGGCATTTGCCGTGCACTTGCCCTTTAAGGGCAAAACCCCAGCCTTGAGCAAGGGCTGAGAGCAAAGCCCCAGCTGAGGCAGCTCTGGCTAAGGAGGGCCCAGCCTGGGGCTGTATAAAGGAGGACTCCTGGAGGGGAGGGGGAAAGGAGAGGGATGCTGCAGCCAGAGCCAGAGCCCAGTAGAGACCTGACTGCCAGGGAAGCAGGAGGCTTCCTGGGGGCAGAGCAGGGCCGGGGAAGCTCTGGCCAAGCAAGCCCCCAGGCAGCAGGGCCTGAAGCAGCCAGGTTAGGCAAAGGCTGCAGGTCCACCCCCTTTGCCAGTGCTGAGTGGCCATTGCAGATGCAGTTTCCCTTTGAGGCAGGGGGAGATGGAGCCTGGCTGTGGGTCACCGAGGCAAGGTGAGGACTGGGGGTTCCCTGGGAGGAGAGCAGGGTGCCGGGAGGAGGGAAGGACCCTGGAGGGAAAGCAGGATAAACACCCACCCCCGGAAGGGGGCTCAGACACTGGCGTGGGGACGCTGAGGCCCATGAGTGACATGTGTCTGGACCAGAGGGGGCAGCGAGAACACGGGGAGACTCCAGCGAGTCAATGAGCTAAGTCCCAGAGCTACCAGCTGGAGGCGCCAGGGTGGTGAGTCTGCCCCGGACACCATCCTGTTCAACCTATTTCTCAGTGATCTGGAGAGAGGGGGAGCCAGGGAGGTGGCAAAGTCTGGGGGTGACACCGAGCTGCTCAAGATCGTTCCGACCAAAGCTTCCCAAAGATCTCGCCAGACTAAGGGATTGGGCACCAAAATGAAATGTGGCTCAATGGAAAGTAGCGCCCATTGGAAAACAAACCCCCAACTATCCGCACAATATGATGGGGGCTAGTTTAGCAACAACGACTGGAGAGTGAGATCTTGGCGTCAGCGGGGAGAGCTCTCTGAGAACACCCGCGCCGTGGGCAGCGGCAGGCAGAAAAGCAAATCGGTTAGGAATCGTTGAACAAGGGACAGAGAAGATCTCCATGCCTCTGGGTAAAACCACGGCATGGCCACGTCTCGATGTGGTCGCCCCCTCTCAGAAGAGATCTCCTGGCGCACGGAAGGCCAGCGGGGTGCTGAGGGGTTTGGAACGGGGACCATGTGGAGAGGGGTTAACGAGACGGGGACTTTTCATCCCAGCAAAGGGGGGATCAGCTCGAGGTCTGTAACCTCATGGCTTGTAACGGGTTGGCTGTGCCGCCCGACTGGACGGAGGAATCAACAGACCGGCTTCTAAGCCCAGCAGCTCAGGGCTGCTCCAAGCATTTGCCCAAGACTGCAATTTCCCAAAGCCTGCACCTTCCCAGCCCAGCTCCTTGTCTCACTCCAGGGAACCTGGATCTGACCCTTGGCTCTGACCCCAGCCTGGGCTCTGATTTCCAGCGACTGAGTCCTGCTCTAACTACTAGGCATGACCACCTGTGGCCCAGTCAACGACCGCCACTGATCTGTGGTGTGACTTTTAGATCAGCCGCTTTGTTGCCTTGTGCCTCAGTTTCCCTGCTTGAAGATGCTTAACCGCCTGTGCAGACTGTTCCCAGCTCCGCCCAGGAGAGGTGCTTTAAGTGCTGGTTATTACGATGAGAGAGTCCAAGCGAGATGAGAAGAAAAGCGCCGGTCCATTTGGCACAATCAAAGAGCAGGTAACTCGATTACGCTGTGCTTTGCGAGGGTACATCGGATTAAGGGGGCCCCGCTCCTTGGGAGGCTGATGTAAGCCAGCGTGCTGACCCGGCTGCTCGCGTTCGGTGCAGTGAGCTGCTGCGCCGGCTGCACGCCGGGAGGGTATGTGAGTTGATCTCCGCTGGCGGACTCTCCTCCACGCCAGCTGCCCTGGGGAGCGTCTGTAAGGCCGAGCGCAGACGGGGACTGGCCTTTTTCCAGCGCTGCCCGGGATGGCCATGGGACCGAAGGGTGGACATGTGGGGGGGAGGGGAGCTGCTGAAATTGACGCGTGTTGGAGGAAAACCGGGGTGCACAGACCCCGCACCAGGCAGGGAGGGCGAGAAGAGATGCTCTGTCTTATTCTGTGTCCCTTTCTCAGTGACACCCTGTGACGCAGGGGGGGCTGTCTGCTCTGTGACCCGGGGTCCCCACCTGGCTGGGCTGTGTGATTCCCACTGACTCACCCACATGTGGATCGGCCCAGACACCGAGGCCCAGCCTGGGCAGGTAACAAGGCTCTTGTGCTCCCTGCATCCTTCACCTCCTGTGTCCTGCGCCCTGCACTCGCTCTACATCCTTCGCTTTGCATCGTATGCACCCCCTGAGCCCTGCGCCTTGCAGTGGGTTTCTGAGTGAGCCCAACGAGCTCGGGGAACGAGTGGAAACGTGGCAGGGAGGGCGTTGGCTGGCTCCGGTGAGGCCTGCGGCCATTGGCCTAGGGCAGTTGGGCAGTGCTGAATCAGGCGGCGCCGAGCTCGGGTCGGGACTGGGGCAGGCTCTGTGTCCCGCTGGGGAGAACGGCACGGCTCCCGCGGTGCACAGCTGGGACAAGGAACGTGCTCAGGCTCAGGACGGACTGTGCC